ACTTAGAACTTTGAACTCCACCGAGTTATTCTTTATTGAAGGTAAATATCGCTACTTATATACATTATTTTTCAGACTAAAAATCGTTACTTATTTTTCTTATTAATACTATCCTTCTTTTTTACTCTATTTTTATTATAATGCTTTTCGTAACTATTTACCCAATAATTCCTTTCATTCCGATTTTAATGATCGTTCCCATTTTTGTGAAAATAAAAATAATGAAAATCGGCACTGACGATCCTATCTTCTATTCCAGGGTCGATACTGAATTCTCTTAAAAGTTCTCGACGAATAAGCTCTTGTTGAGATCCTTCAATAATCCAGTTTCGCAATAGAAGCAATTCACTGCGGAGGTTTGCAACCAAGTTATAACTATGAAACTGTAGCAAATAAACGGCTTTTTGGAAGCTCAGTTTCTTTGGGACAAGATGACTTCCAATCATTGGGTGGGTGTAAATGTGAAATACTTCCCCATATTGTTTAGTAACGCCATTGTATTTTAATTTTTGCCACCTTCGCTTGCTCAATTTTTGTATTCCATCAGTTTAATAGGGGTACTTTGCATCCTATTTTTTTGCTGCAGTAGGGCTTTTCCTTTAATTACATTAACAACATCCAAGATCACTTTGTTCTTTTGAATTATTATCTTTAGTAGATTTTGAATTCTATTTAAATCTCTGATTTCGTCCTTTTCAATACCAATTCTATGTTAATAACTATTACCAGCGTTATATGTTCCATCAACGGACCCCTTCTCATATGATCTTTGGCGATTAACAATGTTTCATGTTTATTTTTTCAGACACATTTTCAGAGGGTTTAAGCTCATTGATACTATCGATTTTATCTTTTTAATCTCCATTTCACTTTTGTAGCCAGGTTCAATCACTTTATCATTATAGTCTATCTGTGCTGGCCTTTGGTAATACATAGATGCTTTATTTGCATCCTTATTAATGCTAATTCCATTTCAATGACAAGATCCAATATAATGCACTTCCAAATTGTTATCAGCTTTGATCGAGTACTGTTCAAATACTTGGAGATCCTCTTTTTCAATACCAATCCCATTTTTATGGCCCTTTTATACACAAGGATTTCTTCTTTCAGCAGGATTCATATTCCATTTGGATACCTTTTTTTTGTCCTTATTAGTGCCTTTTCTATGTAAGTAATAGCTTTCAGGATATTTCAGTTTTGTCAATTCGCAATTGCTAACAGACTCCACATTCGGTTCAAACGCTTTATGAGTAGCAGATTTCTGA